GGTGCTGCGATACCACGCATGCGCGAGCGGACGCGGGGCTGAACCCGTTCCGCCCTGAGCCTTGGTGTTTTGAAGCGTCTCATCCAGGCTCCGCTGCATGCAGTGTATCCCTCACCTGCTCGAGGGTGGAGGCACGACTTCTGTTTCTCAGCTCTCAGAGAACACTTTCCTGCCAGCCTCCGCCCTTGCTGGCATCTTCTTTCTGGAAGGAAAGGTTCAGATCTGGTTAGGCTTCCAATAGTGCAGTGGTTCTCAACCTTCTGGCCCTTTATTAAATACGGTTCCTCCTGTTGTGACCCAACCATAAAATTATTTCCGTTGCTACTTCATAACTGTCATGTTGCTACTGTGATGAATCGTCATGTAAATATCTGATATGCAGGATGGTCTTGGGCGACCCCTGTGAAAGGGCTGTTTGACCGCCAAAGGGGTCGCGACCCACAGGTTGAGAACTGCTGCAATAATGGGTTATCAAAGCTGTAAAAACAGCTTTCCCGCCCTGCCGGCCTGGCTCAGAGGCTGAGCATCCACCTGTGAACCAGGAGGTCACGGTTCCATTCCCAGGCTGTGGGCTCAATCCCCGGTGCAAGGCGTGCAGGAGGCAGCCAATCAGTGCTTCTCTTTCATTGATATTTCTATCTCTCCCTCTCCCTTCCTCTCTGAAATCAATAAAAATATATGTTTCAACACAAAACACCTTCCCTTTGTAAACTGAATAGTAGCGCCTGCCCAGAACTCGGCGAGGTCCTGCTGAGATCTCAGAACAACAAACCCAAAGGGATTGAAATGTTGAGTCCCTTCTCCTTCCTTCCGGTTGAGCTTTTTATTCTCATGCTGCTCCTGTGACGTGACGTGACGTCTTCGGATTCCCGTAATCTCAGAAGCACACAGTGGCCTGCAGCCACGCCAGCGTTTCTCTCAGTGGCCAGAGAAGCCTGTAGCCCGTCCAACAGGGCACGTTTGCACCAGGCAGGAGGGCCCTGACTCCCCGCCCTGGTCCCCTGCGCCGGTTCCCTCTTTTCTCGAGGCTCACTTACTCTGCAGATGGTGAAGCCAGGCCTGCTCCCAGGCTGAGAACAAAAGATTTGGGCGACCTTCTGCGTGTCTGCGAGGTCCTGTGGAGCTGCTGACCTTGGCAGTGCGCTCCTGTGTAGGGGATTCAGATCAAATCCTTCTGCACCGTGTTCAGACATCTTTTCTATCTTATCTCCTTCCATTCTTGCCTCTCCCTCACCCATGTCCTCTCTTCCTGCACATACCCTGGACTTGGCCTCCTTCATGCTTCGGCACAGCCGTTTCCTCTCCCTGGAATGCCCCCTGCTCCCAGGCCAGCTTGTCAATGTGTGATCCATTCTGAACAACCCAATCACAGTGCCAGTCCCTCCAGGAAACTTTTTCTATAGATTCTATTAAGGGCAGCTCTTTGTCCTCAATAGAACCGATAAGACCGTATGCCCATATCTTAGTTATCTGTGTAAACTTCTTCATTCCTCTCTAGGCTGGGAAGGCTGTTGCGATGGTGCCTTGTCTATATACTAGAGGCCCGGTGCACGAAATTCATGCAAGAGCAGGCCTTCCTTCCTTCCCTCCGGCCGCCGGCAGGCACCCGGGATCCGGGCTTCCCTCGCAGCCCCAGCTTTGCCCAGAAGGTCGTCTGGAAGGACGTGCGGTCTAATTAGCATATTATGCTTTTATTATTATAGATGCCTCAGAAGACAAGAAGACTCAGCATTTCCTGAGCACCTGTCAGATGCCGGGCCCTGCTTAGAAGGCCATGTCTCATGGAGTTTATGTTCTTGCGGGAGTAGGCAAATAGTCGGCAGTGAAAACGGTACCAGGTTTTAGGCTGGTGGCATCAGACCGGACCGGGTTCAGCAACCCCAGTACCTGAGTTCCGGCTAAGAGAGAACTCAGAGCCAGGATTCAAGTTCTAGGAGAGAGGTTATTGAGAAGGTCCCAGAGGGAGAGGTGAGCTCTTGGAGAAATGGGCTCAAGAAACAAGTGACAGACAAAAGCAGGGCCCTTGGAGCTGAGGAGAGACAGAGATAGGAAACCT